GTGAGCGGCCAGCAGCCGCCGTGAGCGGCCGTCCAGAAGCTGGCGACTGATCTGCCTCGCCCAGGAAGAGCGTAATGATGGTGCCAACTTGGGCCAGTGAAGCAATGTCCTCCACAACTAGAATGAAGAACAAAACGACAGCAACTTGTCTGTCCCCTTCCCCCAATTCCCCAGCACTGTTCCCATCCCCCCAATTCCCCAATAAAAATCTTAAAAATAAATAAATAAATAAACTAAGAAATGACTAAAACAAAGTCTTGTTGTTTTTTGTTGCTCAAGCACATCTGGAGCTCTTCTGCATCTTATCATGCAATACCCACTGTATTTTCAATGAAATAAGCTTAATTATTTTTCAGAAAAGAAACCAAACAAAACATGTTGTAGGTATAATTTTCAAAAAGGTTTATCACCAAAAGAACAATAGTTTCTACAGGTAGCATGAAGATTAAAAGTGAAAATGTTATTTTAGTAAGCTAGTCATAATATCAATACCAAAATTATAGCAACAAAATATCATAGGTTAATTCTGAAAATACCTATGAAATACCATCAATGTTTAAAAACTGACTAACTGCATTTGTGAAATTTATTAAATAGAGCTACCTATGAACAAATATAAGGGGGAGTTCCAAATAAATAACCATTAGGTAATTTTATTCACAGTAGCAAATAATTTTAAAGGTGAGTTTAATAGTTTCTGGTAAAAATAAAGGTTTATGACCATGAAAACATACATCTATTTCAGCTGTCTTTAGAAATACACACAAACTATATATATATATAATATATATATGTTGTTTACTATGTACATAATATATACACTATATATAAAAAATACATTTATATAAACCAAAGTCACAATACGAAAAAAAGAAAACAGTAAAACTTTAAAAGTTTCTTCAGAAAGAAATTAAATAGAAAACACTGTTATTGACCACAATTTATTTCACTAGAATAGAGACCTTGATATTCAATAATCTCAATAAAATCTTTTGTTAGAACAAATGAGTAATAACTTTTTTTAGGATTAAGGTGAAACATAAACTCATGATAGCTATACTTCAATTACTGTTTAATTTACTGTTATTTTCCAATACAAAACCACTAATCCTGTGAATCATCTCACTCTAGAAGGGAAAAATTTTATTCTAGTTCATGTCTCCATTATGTTCTCTACATTCCTATGTCTACTTCATATGAGGATAAAAATAAAATAAAAACATTTAAAATAAAAGGCAAAAATTTTAAACATAAGCATAAACTCAAAAGTTCCTGTTCCATAAGATTGTACAATTTTAATATATTTCTATAATCCATTGTAAGGATGATAATTTAGAAACAGAACAACTACCTCCTTAAATTGATTCCACATACTAACGATCATAAGCTTTGGAAAATCTTTTTATAGAAAATATTAAGTCACTGCAGTTGCCAAAGTAATGGGCAATAATAATACTGGTATTTATCAGCTCCTAATATAAATGTTTTAGAATCTTTGCTTAGGTACGCTTTTCTTGCTCCTCTATTTTTTTTTTTTGTAATAGCCTCATTACAAATTCTACTCCTTCTTCCATACACCCAAACCTCATTTCAAATTCTACTCCTTTCTTCACATCCTAAACATGTTACTCAATTTTATAGGATGTCTTAAGTCTCCCCAAGTCTCCTTTACAAAGTATAAAGTATGTACTAGGTCCTCTGCATTTATGATCTAATTTAATAGTACTTATGGAATAGATTTAAACATGAGAAAAATTTAAGCTTAGATTACGTAATCTGTCCAAAGTCACAAAGCTTAAATGGTAGGGCCAGAATTTGAACCCCGGTCTATGAATGAGAAATCTATTCTGGTAAAGTCTGTACTACCGTATTTCCCCATATGTAAGACACTCCCATACATAAGATGCACGTTAATTTTGGGGCCCAAAATGTGNGTATTAATGCCTAGCTTTATAACTCAAACATAAATGATTAGAATAAGAAAAAAAAAGTAAAATATCAATGTAACTACAAAGTAAATAGGCATAGTTGGGACTAATAAAAATATTAATGAAAACGAACCCAATACAATGTTGCTACCGGGAATAGTAGTGGAAAAATTTCTGGTTAATGGACTGTCATAAATTTGGAACAATGAAGCTGGCTAAAACAGTATCTGAATGAGAAATTCCTCATATTTTTCTTATTTCTTAGATAAAACTTAATAAATTGAAAAGTAAAATGTTACACTGAAGCTAACATTAATACTCCATAAGATTTTTGAGTGAATTTTTAGACTGTTTTCTTGATTTCAGGTTACAAAGAAAAAATGAGTCACTGATTTATATCTTAAATTACAAGTACATAAACAGCAAGAAGACAGCCAAAAGATACAAACAGTAAAGAAAAGAAGTATTTGTTACATACTTTTCCTTAACATTTATTTTCAGAATATGCTTATAATTCAAAAAATATCCAAGGGAAAGTCTCAACACTTCAATATTATTGACTGTTATTACCTCCTCACAATTTCTTTTACATAACTGTAATCGATACTATAACTTTATTTATTGTTATTCATAACCATCACCTTCAACAGTATAATATTCCATTAAATAGATACCATAGCTTAATCGCTTTACAAGAGGAAATGGAAGTTAATTCCTTAGCAAACCATACTATTGAAAACATCCATCAGTGATTAAGTCCTTCTCTTTTCCCTACAGCCAGTTTATTTAAATAAATCCTCTGGAATGCCTCCAGAGTCTTCAATATTGCCACTAAACCTGTGAATGGAGTTTTTCAATGTCTGTCTCCATTGCTAAACTACAAGTATCAGGAAAATTGGGACCATATCTGCTTTGTTCACTGAATACCGCAATTACATAGTCAAGTGCCTTGACATGTAGTGGGCAATTACTACATATTGCCGAGTGACAGTACTGGCAAAGGTATGTGAGAAATAGGCACTCTCATTCACTGAGTGAAAACTGATACAAAATTGAAGTGCTCTGAATATATATTTTGGCCCAATGCCAAGTGGCCAAACTCAATATTTTAAAACTTCAGTATTTACCTGAGGCCAAAGCTGAAGCCAAATATTACCATCAGAGAATAACCTTCTGAAATAAAAGAATAAAAAGTTTTGTTAAAAGTAAAAAATGTTATAATTTTAGTGGTTATCATGTTTCATGTTATGGATGCTAGATCACCAAATAATTCTACAAAGAACAGGTAAGATCGCCTATTATTCGGCCTGACATCAAGGTAGCCATGACAGTGCAACTAAAAACACTCACGAAAGAGGACTTGTAGAACTGCTGCAGAAACTGGCAACCCACTGAAACAGGGGCTGCAGCCTACACCGTCGCAGGTGACTCACGGCAGCCCAGCTCCAGGTTGAGATGTTGTTCAGCATCTTAGCTGTGGAGGGCAGTGTCACTGGCCCTCATATGTGGAATCCGAACCGGGCCCTCTGGCATCCCAAGCCAGTTCTTAACCATCGCTCCACTCGGCTGGCCCTCCTGTACATTTTTAAATGACAAATTCTTATTGGGTGCCCAAGAGTTATCACATATACAAACTTAAGGTGAATTTATGGAGTTATCAGGATAATTTATCCATTTTCCCCTCAGATACCTAAATAATTAAGAGAAAAAATTTCAAATAAATGGCAGTATTTTTCTTTTTGTTAATTCCTTCTTTGCTCTATCAGATCTTTTCAAATATGTAAACAGTTTTGCTTTTACTAATTACAGAAACACATGTTAATTGTAAAAATAAAGACACGTAATGTAATATAGAAAGGGGTAAAGAAGGAAGTAAAAATATCACCCACATGCCCATCCAACTACTCTGAGATAACCAGTAAACATTTTGGTGACTATTCTCTCCTGCAATTCATTTTGTACAGACATGCACAAACATGTAGTTTTACATGCATATGTTACTGCAAATACCCTGCCCTTTTTCTCTCTTTCCTTTTATTTTTTTCCTTCCAATGTGGACAATCATAAAAGGCATATACAAAACTCGTGGTATTAAACTGTTTTACTAAAATGGGATCTCATTATATACATTTTTCTAAACTTTGTCTTTCTCACTTAAGATATACGATGGAAATCCTTTTAGAACGTATTTGGAAATCCTTTCAACTCACAGGTATGGATTTTAACTCCTACTTTCAATTGATCTAAAAAACATCCCATAATATGCCTGTGCCATAATTTATATATCAATATCCATCTTGATAGGCAATCCCTTTGTTTTTAGATTTTTGCTACTACAAATACTGCTGGAATCAACATTCATGTAAAAACTTATTTACTAACAGGTACTTTTATTTCTAGGGAAACGATTCCATAGAGTGGGATTGCTGGATGAAAGAATATGTATTTTCAACACTAACAGATACTGTCTGGTTGTTTTCTAAAAATGCTGTAACTATTTACAACTCTAGTAGCATCTAATGAGAAAATCCTTTACTGCACA